TAAATAACTTCAGCCCAGCCTTAAAGGGGAAATATTACAGCAAACACGTAACAAGGCAGGACAAGCACACGCTGCTGCCGAGCCTGAGCGAGGGCCCACGCTCAGTTTCTTGCCAGGGTGTTTTTTTCCCCCCTCTTGCCTTGCCCACCGCCAGCTGTGCCACAGGGCAGCCCGTGACCACACCAGCTGGCTGTGCGGCGCATATTGGGGTGCCTGATGTACGCCCCACTGCTCCAGCCCTACCTGGTCACCCAGACTCTGCCAACACCCCTCGGGCACCACTCTGTGCTCATGGGTGCAGCTCCAACTTCTTCCCCACCATGACGTATCCCCTTGTCAGGACAAAAGCTGGGGGGCAAGCAGCAGAGCCATCCCTGCAACCCCTTCTGCAGCCCCCACCCCTTTTTCCCTCCCTGCCATTGCTGAGGCTCTCCGGAGCCACCGCAAAGCTGCGGTGAAGGGCTGTTCCCCTGTGACTTTGGGGAGGTCTCCTTCCTCCCCACTCCCCCCACTGCTGGCAGGGCTCCTCCAAGCAGGGCAGCTGGGCCAAGCACAGAGCAGCAGCGCCCGCGCACAGTTGCACGGGGACCACAAAGTCCAGGTTCCCAGGCTCGGGTGCCGCCTGCTCTCTGCAGAGCTGCACCAGGGCTCAGCTTTTTATTTTTAGGTCTAAAAACATCCTCCTTGCACCACCATCACCTTTGTTCCTGGCTCTGTGAGTTGTAAACCTCACCTTATCTCTGGGCTACCCGCAGCTGGGACTTTCCTCCTTCTGCGCTAAGAGCGAGCAGAGGTTGCTGTCGACAAAGGAACTAGCACCCGAGCCCAGATGGGAAGTGGTCAGTTTGTTGGCAGATGAGACAAGCAGCAAAGGAAAAAGAGGTGGAAGGGTCACTCCATCTGTGCCTTGAAGCCTGAGGAGCAGTAATTTGGGGGCTGCTGGGCTATGCTCCTTGACGGAGGGGCAAGTGCCCCTCCAGTGAGTGCAGAGCAGAGCAGTGCTGGCTGCAGTTTTCAATCAGGGACTGGGTGAAGAAGCACCGCTCTCCCTGCCCAAAACACCAGGTTTCTCTAAAGCTGTGGCTAAGCGTGCCAGATTACCGATCCCCCAGCCACAAGCCCTGCAGGTGTTCCCAACAGGCTTTGCCATCGATGGAAGCAGGCAAGGTCTTCAAGCACCTGTTGCAAAGACACAGAAAAGCAACCCCAGACCTTTGCTGGCTGCATCAGGCAGTGGCCAAGCCGTGGCCTCTTTCCTCCCGTGCAATGTCAAAGTCCCAGCCACTGGCTGCTGCTTGCCGGAGCAGATCCCCTTACCCTCCCTATGCCCCTGCACCAAAACTGCCCTAGGGACCCACTTCCAAGAGGCAACCCTGGGGAAGAGGAAGAAGGAACAGAAGGGATGCCATCCAGTGGGACCTTGACAGGCTTGAGAGGTGGGCCTGTGTGAACCTCATGAAGTTCAACAAGGCCAAGTGCAAGGTCCCGCACATGGGACAGGGCAATCCCAAGCACAAGTACAGACTGGGCGGAGAATGGATTGAGAGCAGCTCTCAGGAGGAGGACTTCAGGGTGTTAGCTGATGAGAAGCTCAACATGAGCCAGCAATGTGCACTTGCAGCCCAGAAAGCCAACCGTATCCTGGGCTGCATCCAAGGAAATGTGGCCAGCAGGTCGAGGGAGGGGATTCTGCCCCTCTACTCTGCTCTCGTGAGACACCACCTGGAGTACTGCATTTAGCTCTGGAGTCCCCAACATAAGAAGGATATGGAGCTGTTGGAGTGGGTCCAGACGAGGGCCATGAAGATGATCTGAGGGCTAGAGTTCCTCTGCTATAAAGACAGGCTGAGAGAGTTGAGGTTGTTCAGCCTGGAGAAGAGAAGGCACCAGGGAGACCTTCTAGCAGTCTTCCAGTACCTAAAGGGGGCCTACAAGAAAGCTGGAGAGGGACTTTTTGCAAGGTCATGCAGTGATAGGACAAGGGGCAATGGCTTTAAACTGAAAGAGGGTAGATTTTCATTAGATATAAGGAAGAAATTCTTCCTTCTGAGGGTGGCGAGGCACTGGAACAGGTTGCCCGGAGGACCTGTGGATGCCCCTTCCCTGGAAGTGTTCAAGGCCAGGTTAGATGGGGCTTTGAGCAACCTGATCTAGTGGAAGGCGTCCTTGCCTATAGCAAGGGGGTTGGAACTAGATGATCTTGAAGGTCCCTTCCAACCCAAACCATTCCATGATTCTGTGATTCTAAGCGTCACTACAGGCAGCATTAAAGCTGCAAACAGCCATATGGGGCACAGGAGCAAGCTCAAGCCCTGCTCCCCCTGGGCTGTGGGTCACCAACTCCTGTCTGCTGCCTTTCCACAGGGAGGGAGGGAAGCAAGCAGTATCCAGCTCACAGCCTGAAAGTGACTCTGCTCTCAAACCAGAATTGAGAGCAGCTGGGGGACTTCCACCATGCTCCCTGTGGGCTCATGGGAGTGGGGAAATCATCATGGCAAGGCTCTGGGTGACTGGGGGATGAATTACAGGATTGTGGGGCAGGATTAGAGCTGGAAATGGCCCCTCGCAGGCAGGAATTGGTTCCTCCGCAGTCAGGGAAGAAAGGGCATTTCTTGGGTCAAAAGGCAGGACAGTATCAGGAAAGAACTCTTTATTTCCCATAAATACAGCAGATTCTTCGCGCCGGGCGTTTTGTTTTAAATCTTTTTGTTTGTTTTCTTCCATTTACAATTTTGCACTGAAAATATATACAAGTCTGTTCAAGAACCAAACAAGATCTGCAAAGAAAAACCCCCTACAAAACCCTGAAGAGAGACCAGAAAGGGAAGTAAGACACAGCAGCACCCTAGCATGAAGACCTTGCTTCCCCCTCTCAGCTCTATCACTCACTGCACCCATCTCTGAGACACCTCACCTTCGCTGCCCCCAAGCCAAACGCATGAGGCACCCCACTTGCCTTTCTCCTCCTACTTCTGGCAAGCCAATGCAGGGCACAGCTCACCCCTGCGTTTAAGATCAGGCCCTGTTAAAACCAGCTTAGGGACGAGAAGCAGCTCCTGTCATCTCAAGTCCCATGGGGACGAGGATCGCTCCAGACATGCCACCCCCCTGGTCTCCTCCGTGCCTGCAGATCCTCGCTCTTGTGTCACAGTGATCAGGCAGCTGGGGAAAACCCCCTCCCTGGGGCAGGGGGC